CCCCCCCCCCCCCCACCCCCCCCCCCCCCCCCCCCCCCCCCCCCCCCCCCCCCCCCCCCCCCCCCCCCCCCCCGTCCCCCCCCCCCCCGCCACCACCCATCACCATCCGCCATCCACCACCTACTTGCCACCACCATCCACCCACTCGTCACCGCTTTCCACCATCGTCTTCTGCCGCCGCCACCACCCGCCACTTGCCACCACTTTCCACCACCATCTTCTGCCACCATCACCTACCACCTGCCACCATTTTCTACCACCGTCTTCCGCCACCACCACCCGTCATCATTTTCCACCACCGTCTTCCGCCGCCACCACTCGTCACCACCTACCACTTGCCATTTCTCACTATTTTTTATATTTTAAATTTTTAAAAAATATTTTGTCTAAACTAAATGCGTTTGTAATTTATGTTTTTCTAAAAATAAACAAAAACTAGTTTATAAAATTTTTATAAATATAAATTAAGAATATAAACATAACCCAAACACACCCTAAATTATAGAGAGAATTAGTGTAATTTATCTTTTTTTTTTTTTTTTCTTCTTTTTTTCAATGTGTAGTTATTTCTCCCATAAAAATAAGTAAAATAAAATGAGCACAAATTCCCTACGCTTCAGAGTAGTAGTAGTAGCAGCAGGAGTAGGATGTTCGGCTTTGGGCCTCGAGACAGCGACCCAATCACTCACTTCACTTTCACCCAGCACCAACCAACCACACAGGCTACGTAGGTACAATGTTAAAAAGTCAAAAAAATTTTAAAGTAATATTCACTATGCCTACGTTTGGGAAGTGGGTTGGCTTTTTAGTTTTTTGGCTTTTTTGGCTATTTTAGTCTGAGCTAAAAAACTTGGTTTGGGAAGGGCTTTTTAGCTTTTTGGTTTTTTTGACTTTTTTTGTGACAGAAGAGTGTAATGATTATGGGTTGGATGTGATGTTTTGTTTTTTGTGGCTAAAATAGCCTATTTTGTTTTTTGTGGCTAAAATAGCCAAAAAAGTCCCAAAATTTTCTTCCCAAACGTAGGCTATGTTTGGTTACTAGTTTTTAAAAATATTTTTTAAAAAATTTAATTTTCTTATTTTTTATATATTTTTTATTTTTATTGAATTTTTTTAGCATTTTGAGTAATTTTTTAATTTTTAGACATAACTAACATAAATATACTTAAAAAGTAAAAAAAATTAAAAAAAAACTTTTAAAAATCCACTAAATACCAAAAATACAAAAACAATACGAGAAGTAAGGTGCATCTAAAAAAGTAAAAAAAATATTTAAAATTTTAAAAATATTCACTAAAAACAAAAAAATACGAAAACCAAAAAACTCAGTTTTTAAAAAACTCAAACCAAACACACTGATTAGAAGTTTGAGGTTGCGTTTGGTAAGACTTTGTAATTATGATTTGAGAGTATGAGTTATATTTTGAGTTTGCGAGGTTTAAAATTATGATTTGAGTGTGAAAAATTTATTTGGTGAAAAAGTTTTGAAAATAATTTTGAATTAAGTGAGAAATTTTTGATGTGACATTTGATATTTGATATAAAAACTTACAATTCATAATTAAACATACAATTCAAAATTATTTTAAAGCACATAAAAAAATTTAAAAAATTTAAAAAATTCAGAAAATATTTTTTTCGAATATATAAAAATTAACATATCAATTGCAAAAAAAAAAATTATTATTTCAATCAACCGGCCGGTCAATCGGCCGGACGACCGGTTAGGCCAAATTTTTTTTTTAAAAAAAATTGAAAATCGTATTCTATTTGACAGAATTTTTCTGCAGAGTTGTGAAAAATTAATTCTACAACTCTATCCAAACACTATATGCGAACTCAATCGTAAAAAACGATTTTTAGAATCGTTCCAAACAGAGCCTTAAAATTTTTATCATCTCATTAAGATTCATACAATGTGATGTTTTAAAAGTTGGTAAAAAGTTGATTTTTAATTTTTTTTTAATCTATTTTATCTTTTTGTAAGTAAAAAATTTGAGAAATGATGTGACTCAAAATAAGTAAAAAACTAAAAGTTGACTTTTTATTGGATTGTCAAAGCACCCCAATATGAATTTTATATCTATATAAAATATTTGGTAAAAGTTTTAAATTTTTTTTTGAGATATTGAGTGTACGTTTGGGAAGCCGGTTGTAGGCTAATTTAGCCAAAACACGACAAAATTGGCTAAATTAGCCACAAGGCAACAAAATATGAATCAGCCTCCATTTGAATGGTAGCTCACATACAACAAGGGATTAAATTACCAAAATGCCCCATGTTGGAAATGTTGAACCAATTAGCCACTACCGTCCACGTGTCCTACTCAGCTGCACTAAAGTATAACCTCAACCAGCCAAGTCATGTCAACAGCAAAAAGGAAAACGTTTTTTAACATTTTTAAATATTTTAATTTCAAAATATTACAATTTGAATTTTTTAAATTTTAAAATTTTTTATAAAAAAAATTCAAACTCTATTTTATAAAAATATTTTTAAATATTTTAATTTTTTTGTTAGGTATTTGGTTATGATTTGAGTGTAGAGTTATGAAAGTAGTATGGAGTTTCAAATTATGTGTTTGGTTATGAGTTTTAAAAATAATTTTTTAATTAAGTTTTGTTTTATGTGTTTAGTTACGATTTGAGTGTAGAGTTGTTTTTAAATTTAAAATATTAAAATTTTAAATTATTTTAATTTTTTAAATATTTAAATTATTTAAATTTTTACGCTTTAAATTTTTTGAATATTTATTTTAAATTTTTGCTTATTAAATTTTTTAGATCATTTACATTATTTAAATATTTACAATAAAAATAAAATTAAAATAAAAATTAAATTAAAATTAAAATTAAAATTAAAATTAAAATTAAATATTTAAAATTAAATTATTTAAATTACACAGGACAATAAAATAAAACCTCACTTTTTATCATTTCACAGAAAATGAAAAAAAATAAAAAAAATTAAACAAAATATTACAAAAAACGTAAATTAAAGAACAAGAACTTATTTCAATGTATAAAAAAATAAAAATGACAAAAACATAAATTTAAAAAAAATTACAAAAATTAAGCAAAATACGTCAAATCAAAATCCAAAATAAACAACTAAACAAATAAATATTTTACCAAAATACCCCAAAATAAAACCCAAAAATAAAAAATAAAAAATAAAAAAATTTAAACAAAATATGCCAAATGCAAACCTAAAATAAAAAAATAAAAAAAAAGGTTAGCAAAAAACGGCAACTCCAAACCGAAAATATATTAAAAAAAAATTAAAAAAGAACAACAATTATTTCGGACAGTTGGCTTGCTGACGTAGACGACATGGCCCTTGCAATTAAGGTAGATGTGTTTTGGGAAAGGCACTTTGGTAAATTAATAGGAACACACATCACCAAAAAGTCCAAAAGCCAAAAAAGTCAAAAAGCGCTTCCCAAATCAGGCTTTTTAGACCCAGGCTAAAATAGTCAAAAAAATTAAAAAGTCAAAAAACCAACCCATTTCCCAAACGGAGTCTGAGCATTTTTGGGCAACCTATCTATCTCCGTCATCACTCAATCCTCCTCCAGGAATTCTTCTACATCCCATTTACCGAGTATGTTGAGAAATTCTTTCTCCAGGTTGTTGATGCTCCAAATCCTCAACGACGATGAAACTTAACACATTGCTGTGATAAATTCCAACACACAAAGTAGTGGATCTATAGTTTTAAAACAATAATTACTTAGAATTCGTTTTGAATTGAGTATTTTAATTAATTTTTAAAATTTTTTATATTAAAAAAAAAGAAAAAAAGAAAAGAAAAGTAGATAGGGTGATTTGATAATTTGGTATTTTACACCATCTCCAACGTTGCATCAGATTCAATATCAAATTTAAATTTGATAAAAAAAGTTATTTTTTTTTGTTCTAATGATTTCACCAAATTGATATCAAACTGAGAACGAAACAAATTTTTCACCAAATTAAGAATTTGTGTGAGCCTTCACTAATTCACTGTGCTGTAATGTTGCAAGTGGGCTCACTGGTCGACTGGAAAAGGTCCAAATAGTTCAAATAGATAAGTTCAAACAAGTTCAAAACGAAAAAAAAATATACTTTTTCTTTACCGATTGACCGGCCGGTTAACCTGCTGGTCGACCCCTGCCTTTGATGACAACCATTGGAACAACTAATGTCAAATTAAAAAAATAATTCTTTTTTTACTCAAATTTGATGAGAAAAAAATAAAATAAAAGGTAAATAATTGGATATCCTCTTGGTGAAAAACCACTCCCCAAACTAAGGTTGAGAAAAACCACTCCCCAAACTAAGACCATCTCCAACGGTTCATCAAACTTGGTATCAAATTCAAAATTTGATGAAAAAGTCACTTTTTCGAGCTCCAACGGTTTCACCAAATCGATATCAAATCCAGAATTCAACAAATCTTATACCAAAATGAGAACAGACGAAGCATTTTACCAAATCACTGTTCCTAACTATTGGGAGAGACCAACCGGTCAACCCGCCGGTTGCCCGGCCGGTTGACCAACCGGTCGACCGCTTGAAGGTTCAAACGGTTCGAAGAAAAGGTTCAAACAGTAAAAAAAAAAAATATATTTTTTTTGCCTAACCGGTCGACCAACTAGTTGACCAGCCGGTCGACCACTAAAAGGTTCAAAAAGTTAAAAAAAAAAAAAAAATCAAAAAAAAAAAAAAATTTCGCTTAACCGGTCGACCAACCGGTTGTCCCCGGTACAAATTTGATGAAAGTGCACCGTTGGAGCGAGTGGTATCAAATTAATAAAATGAATTATTTTTTACTCAAATTTAGTGAAAAATCTGATTCACCGTTGGAGATGCTCTAAGGTTGAGGGACAACTCCTCATCCTTCAACTGAGGACGTGGCTCTGGATCCCACTCTGTACCGGCGGGCACTGCTGAAAGGCGCGAACCAAATGTTTGTGACTTCACTTTCACTTTGACTTCACCTGCTTCTCTTCTCTAATTCATTCGCAGAGAGAGAGAGAGAGGGGGAGAGACAAAAAGCAAAGGTGAGAGAGAGAGAGAGGGGCATCTCATCCTCATTCTTCATTCTGATTCTTATCATCACCAAGTCTTGGGGGGTCTTGCTGTGACTGAGAAACACCAGTTTCTGATTCTTCTTCCTCCACTCCACTCCACTCCACTCTCAGTCTTTGCATTTTAAGAAACCATCGACTCATAGGACCCACTCACTTTGTGGTGAGTCCCCCACTCCCCCGACTCGAATCTCTCTTCCCCTCTTCTTCATCTTTAAGATTTTCTTTTTCTACGATTTTTTATTGGAGAAAATCATCCATCCTTTTCGATCTCTCACATTTTTGGTGTTTTCCTTTCTACTCTCTCTCTCGTAGTCGTTGTGCGTGCTTGTGTGCGTATTTCGCAGATTCACCCACTGGTTTTGAAATTTGATTCCTCTGAAAAGATTGGAATCTATGATGAAATAATATGATTCTCTTTATCTTTCTTTTGAAGATTTGGTGGCAAAAAACAAAAATCTGACTACTTTTTTTTATTTTTATTTCCTCCTCCTCCTCCTCCTCCTCCTCCTGAGTGAGTCCTGAATCATATATATGCCTGCAGCAGCTCTAATGAAGCGATTGAAGCTTCTTTGTTTGTTTCTTAGGCTACTTTTCTCGGAAAATGTAATCTTCGTTCAAGCCATGGGAAACCAGTTACTTGTTTTTTCCCTCACTTGATAAATGTGGAGTCCTTGCCCAAAAATTTCTAGTCTTCGGACTCGCTACTCTTCCTAATCCACTGTGACTTCTTCCACCTTGTCCTACTCTTTGGAAATCAATCCGAGAGAGAGAGAGAGAGAGGGAGAGAGAGAGAAATTCACATAACATCCCTCATGAATCTGTATATATAGGTTTTGATTGATTTTTGAGCTTTCACTTCACATGTTGATGTCAAGGTTTGTGGTTTCTATGGAGAAAGCTAAGTATGCAACTCTGGAGCTGGTCTCAGTGGTAATTTTGTGCTTATGCAACGCCTCTGCGCAAGTGCAATGCCAAAAGAGGTCCTCAATTAATCATGTCTCAGCAGAAGCAGATCCTCCATCTCCATCTCCATCTAGACTACTAGTACCACAACTCAGAAGCAGGTTTCAAAAGATCATTCTCAGCATTTTATTCGGAATCATAACAGGATTGATTTGCTCTCTTCTTTTCGCTTGCATAGTTCGATGCTTCATTCGTTTCATAGCCAGAACCCCAATTCTCAAAGGCCCAGTCATATTTTCCCCCAAAATCGCTCCCAAAACCCTCCAATCAGCTCTCGCAAACGAAACCGATAACCAGTTGCTAGGTTCGAGCCCCAATGGCAAGTACTACAAAACTGTCCTTGACAATGGTCTCACAGTTGCAGTCAAGAGGCTCGAACCCTTTGAACATGGGTCTCCACAGATTCAGAGCAAGTCGGTGAAGAGGCGTATGCAGCAGGAGCTTGAGATGCTTGCTAGCTTGAGGCACCGGAATTTGATGAGCTTGAGAGCTTTTGTTCGCGAATCCGATAGGTTTTGTTTGGTTTATGATTATGTGCCCAGTGGGAGTCTTCAAGACTCCATGAACAGAGTGAGGGAAAACCAGTTGCAGCTTAGCTGGGAAGTCCGGCTTCGAATCGCAGTTGGGATTATTAAGGGGCTCCAGTATCTTCATTTTAGCTGTTCACCTAGTGTTTTGCACTACAATTTGAAGCCAACCAATGTGATGTTGGATGCTGAGTTTGAACCTAGGCTGGCAGATTGTGGGTTGGCTATGCTCATTCCCAACTTGGATAGAGCAACATCCGGGTATGGTGCTCCAGAGTGTTTCCAGAACTGCAGGTACTTACTCAAACATAAATAAATATACAACTAGTTGATATATGTATTTACAAAGGATAGTAATTTAGGATTCAGCAATTATAATCCTACTCGGTCTTAATTTCGTTGCTTCGTCTGGAAATAGAAATCGAAGAACAACCAGTCTGGTGTCCAAATGCCATGTTGAGTTTTACTGTGGTTTATCTTTGTTGGCAGAACTCACTGACCTTTCTCACTTTGAATTTTTAGCTTTTCTATGTAATGTCCAGTTAATTTCTTGCTTGAACTCAAAAGGCTCGTTTCTGGTTAAACAACATTTGGACAGTGATTATGAAGATTTTCTTTATAGATTTTAGTGAGAGTTATGGCTTGCTAATTGAATTTTGTGGTGGAGGCTTTAAAAGAGTACTTTATTCAAGTTATGTGTGTTCTGGCTAATAGACATGAATTAATGGGACAAGGGTTATGTGCTTTGGATGGTTTATCCTATGCTTGTTGATTTGTTCTATGGTATGGCATGTATTTAATCTTTATTCGATGTTGGTACTGAAAGTGGCTATATATTGGGTTCAAATTTCATTAGGTATACTGATAAGAGTGACATATTCAGCTTTGGGGTTATACTGGGCGTCTTGTTAACTGGTCAAGACCCAATGGATACATTCTTTGGGGAAGCAGCCAGTGGGGGAAGTTTGGGAAGGTGGCTTCGGCATCTGCAGCAAGCAGGGGAGGCACGAGAAGCATTAGATAAGAGTATTCTTGGGGAAGAAGTTGAAGAAGATGAGATGCTGATGGCAGTGAGAATTGCTGTCGTATGCCTATCTGACTTGCCCGCTGATCGACCTTCAAGCGATGAGCTTGTTTCTATGCTTACCCAGCTGCATAGCTTCTAATGAAATGTAAGAAATTTTCTTCAAACGTCTGTAGCATAGTTTTTAATTTTGGGGTTAACATCATAACCCTTGGAGCTTTTGGTTGTTTATACAGCTTCCATGTGTAGCCCCTTTCTATCTGCTGCTTAGGTTTGCCGTGGGAGCAACCAAAATGCTTTGCTAATTGTTCTTTTTTCCTTTGTTTTTTTTTTTTTTTTTTTTTTAGGGATTTTGCTTTCAGTAATAGGAACTGTCAAGTTTTGTAGGTGTGGTGGTTGTAATTTTTGGTTTGCTTTTTCTTGACTTTTCTAATATAATCTAATCTTTATGGGCATGAACATGATGAATGGGCATGTGAAGAACTAGATAATATTTAAAGAGATTGCTAAATGGAAAAAGAATATGTTTAAATCATATATTCTTTGGGGAGACATAGGCAAGATGGTCTTTTTTTACCTTATAGTGAAGGTAGGGTTTGGTTTCTTTCTTTATTTAGACAACTTTATTTGAAATTATGTGATGTTTTATCATCACGTCAAGTGGTTCTCTTTACTTTTGGCTTGGGTCAGCACGGTTGGTGAGAGTAAGCAAGCATATAATCAAAAAGTAATTTTTTTACTTTGTCACCGGAGGAGGTTGGCAAATCCACATCTCTCAATGAGGCCATCTATGAGAGAGAGAGAGAGAGAGAGAGAGAGAGAGTATAAACTTCTTGTTGAGATGGCTTTGGGTATGGTTGCAGATTAAACCAACTAGTTCAGTTCTCATTGTTTATAATAGCAACTGATACAACTAACTGTGTGGTATTCTCAACACATTCCTAAGGTTGAGTGATATGAAGTCACTTCAACTTTGTAAAGAGGCACCTTAATTCTCTTTATTGACTTAATTCTTTCCTGCAGGTTAAATGTTTCCTTTTCATAGATCTCGATTCATATCTTGATTTATAAATCTAGCTTAGTCTTGATCTTGAATAGCAGCCAGTGCAGAAAGCCATTATTAATGTTCAGTTCACACTTTTTGTTTCTTAGACAGTACTGAGTGGATGTGTATAACTTAGTTGCCCAAAATAAAAGATATGCTCCCTTGATTTTTCCAGTGCTTCCTGTTCTTTAGCTTCTCCCCATTTTATTAGTTTTTTGGCCAAGCCTAAGATAGCACATAAACTGGACACAAAATGTATATAGCGGGGTACAATTTGTTTTAAGAGTGGGCTCCACTAATAATCATGTCTATTAATGTGAAATTTGGATTTGGTTTCTATTTTTGTAGGTGGTCTGTAATTTTTTACCCCTTGTGTTCATCAGATTAGAGTGGTTTTGAGTCTTTGACAATGCAGCTTGTAATTTTACATGCTTGAGGGTTAAACTAGTACTGCTTCTTCTTCATCATGAAGTGGACATTGTACTGTTAAAAAAGATTTTAAAGAGGGGACATTGATTATTTAATAAAGTTTGTCGTTATTGAAGTGTGTGTGGGTGGGTGTCAAAAGTGTACGCTCATGCAGTGTGTATGCTTTGGGAGCGTGAAAAGTCTGGTTAAAAAAAAAGGCTTTTTTTTTTTTGTGGTGGTGGTGAGTGGCTGTGGGGACGTTTGAGAGGGGTACTGAAAGACTGACTGAGACAGAGAGGTCATGAATTATGGGGGGTTTAGAAGTTTAGCAATTAGCATTTGTGCCCCTCCAAAATAGTGATTTACAGCTGTGAATAAATGTAGAACCCCCCTCTCTCTCTCTCTCTCTCTCTCTCTCACCTCAAACAAACTCAAATGCCTATCCATGAGAATTGCACCCTGTTGTCAATCTGGGCCGTCCGATTTTATGGGTCATATATATATGAATTTGGGTAAATTATTGTCCCCTCAAGTTTTCTCATTTTTTACTTTGATTCTTAAATTTTTTTTTTTTTATGCTTTAGTCCCCACCATTTTAAAATTTTCTCAGTTTGTCCCTAATGGATAACTTTGTTTAAATTGTATGAAAAGTGTCATGTGACATAACACATTATTGGTAAATTACACTGCCTCACTAAGTTTTAACATGTTTTCATTTTGGCCATCAAGTTTTTTTTCCCAGTTTGGTTCCCTAATATTTCTAATTTTTTTTTTTTTCCAATGCACAACATCCTTCCAAAATTGGATGAATGAGAGTCGAGCTGTCCTCAATTCAAACATCATACTCCACCGTCCCCTTCTAAAATTATTGCAATGGCAATCAGATTTGGGAGAGAAATTCGATGACGGTGTTAATATTGACCTTTGGATTGCAGAACTGGGAATCCATGTAAGAACAACCACAGGAGAGGATCTGGTTCCGTGTAAATACAACACAATTTGGAGGAGAGGCCCTACTGGCAGGCTGATCAGGCTGCTTGCTTTCAATGTAGTTTAAACCTAAAACTGTTACTATCGAGTTCTACTTTAGTAATGCCCCAGAATTAAATATGATTTGTAACTCCAAAGAATTAAAATAATCATCTTAATCTCAAAACACTTATCTCTTGTCTCAGCCATCTCCTGATCAAGGTAATTGATTCCTTTTTAAAATTTGAAAACTCAACACTAAAGCCGAAGTTAATGATAAAAATTCTCAAAGTTGATCATAAACAACAATTTTAAAGTATTTTTTGTTCAAAGCAGATCAACCTTTATTCTCAAAAGCAGCAAATGGAATCGGATGGATAGGCATGCAATAGAACGAACCAATCAGGGTCAAAGTTCACCTCATTAAAACCATGGAGACATTCTATTTGATTGGATTGACTGAATAAAAGAGATTAGAATTTATCAGACTTAAATTTTATGACTGTAAATCCCTCAAATTATTTGGTGATTAGATATGTATCCCGTGTTTATTTTTTCACGAAATTAAATGTCTAGAGATGACTATTTTTAGTGATTGTCCCTAATGGATAACTTTGTTTAAATTGTATGAAAAGTGTCATGTGACATAACACATTATTGGTAAATTACACTGCCTCACTAAGTTCTAACATGTTTTCATTTTGGCCATCAAGTTTTTTTTCCCAGTTTGGTCCCCTAATATTTCTATATATATATTTTTTTTCTCATTTTGTCCCAATGCACAACATCCTTCCAAAATTGGATGAATGAGAGTCGAGCTGTCCTCAATTCAAACATCATACTCCACCGTCCCCTTCTAAAATTATTGAAATGGCAATCAGATTTGGGAGAGAAATTCGATGACGGTGTTAATATTGACCTTTGGATTGCAGAACTGGGAATCCATGTAAGAACAACCACAGGAGAGGATCTGGTTCCGTGTAAATACAACACAATTTGGAGGAGAGGCCCTACTGGCAGGCTGATCAGGCTGCCTGCTTTCAATGTAGTTTAAACCTAAAACTGTTACTATCGAGTTCTACTTTAGTAATGCCCCAGAATTAAATATGATTTGTAACTCCAAAGAATTAAAATAATCATCTTAATCTCAAAACACTTATCTCTTGTCTCAGCCATCTCCTGATCAAGGTAATTGATTCCTTTTTAAAATTTGAAAACTCAACACTAAAGCCGAAGTTAATGATAAAAATTCTCAAAGTTGATCATAAACAACAATTTTAAAGTATTTTTTGTTCAAAGCGGATCAACCTTTATTCTCAAAAGCAGCAAATGGAATCGGATGGATAGGCATGCAATAGAACGAACCAATCAGGGTCAAAGTTCACCTCATTAAAACCATGGAGACATTCTATTTGATTGGATTGACTGAATAAAAGAGATTAGAATTTATCAGACTTAAATTTTATGACTGTAAATCCCTCAAATTATTTGGTGATTAGATATGTATCCCGTGTTTATTTTTTCACGAAATTAAATGTCTAGAGATGACTATTTTTAGTGAATTTAAAGTTTTGTTGGACAGACTGGATAAGATAAATGAGTAAAAAATTATTTTACCCTTTTTTAATAGTTTACTAAGTAATAGCAATATTAAGCATATCTTTAAGGAAGCTTTTTTGATAAATTCATTTTTTAAGAGTTTTATTCCATCCAACCCATATTCTTTTTGAGTATTCCATTAGGTCCAATTTGAGATAAGAACACCAAAATACCCTTTTTATCTACTTATGTTCCATTTAGTTCACATTATTTTCTTATGTTTCAATAAGTTCTATGAGTGACATAATTACCAAAATACCCTTAATGTGAATGTTCATACCGTCAATATAAATGTTTATATCGTCAATGTGTAGGGGCCCGTGTAACGACCCAGAACCGTATACCATGATTTTCAGTAATTAATTATGTGTTAGTATGATTTAATTGAAGATTATCTGTTGAACTTAGAAGAATATCTGTCGAGATGAGAACTTTGGGACTGAAATTGATGACCGGAATGGGTTCAGAAAACGAAATTGATCACGTCTATGTGATACCGGGAATTTTTAGAACCATTTGGGAAAATAAATTGAGGACTGAATTTCGTCTGAATCGCTAAGCCTTGTTTGGCTCATGTTTATGGCACAATTCTATTTTTATGGTGTATATGTATATAGATAAGGATGTTGACCTATGTTTGACTCAAAAACAAAAAAGAAGAAAGATCTAGAAAGAGAGAGAGAGAGAGAGAATTCGTGGAAGAGAAAAACCAAGGGGAAGAAGATAGAAGCAAAAGGGGAAAAACAAGCTAACTTCTCCCATTCACCATCTAAGGTAAGATTTCCATGAAATTGATTGTTGATTCGTGGTATTTAGCATGTTGAACACAAGATCATGGCTTTAAAATGGTATGATTTATGGTTAATTGGCATTTTTGAAGGAAACCTCCATGGATGTTTCGAAATGAAGCTTTTATGCTCAAGTTTACGATTCTCTATTTTACACCAAGATTTGATCTTCTATTGTTCCCATATGGGTTTTGATTTGAAGTTTTGATGTTGATTTAAGATGGGTTTTAAGTGTTTTGGGTCTTGGATTTCATAAATGTGGAAAGTGATTTTGTAAAGAGGAGAATGAAGCTTGGAAGAAGAACCAGAAATTCAGATTTTGCTCTGTACGCTCGAGCGGAGGGAAGCCCGCTCGAGCGGTGAAAACAGCCTCCCAGCAGTTTTGGGACTTTTTACAGTACGCTCGAGCGGCCAAAGTGGCGCTCGAGCGGGAAGGCCTTTTTCAAGAAAATTTTGGGGAAGTTGCAGACTTGATTTTAACATGTTAATTGCATCATTTATCATCTTATGAACATGAAATGAGTATGAATCAAAGTAAAGAAAGATTAGAATGAACATGAAATGAAGTAAAGGAAAGAATGAAGTGCATGAATTACAGGATTTAATGATAATGTGTATTGAGAAATGTGTGATATGTTGATATTTGCAGGTCAAGATTTGAAGACCGTGCATTCGGTATCGGAAACCCTCTGTGAGTAACATTTCTGTAAAGATATGTTATTATGAACTATGTTTTAAATGTATTACGTTATGCTATGCTTTGAAATGAGAATGTTTTCCGTGAATGAATGTCCTGATTTGCGAATCTAGTATGGCATCCATAGATAGTTGGGTCATGGGGGCGGGAACATGCAGGCCCATGCGTCATGAGTCATGGGGAACGGCATGGAAGGACAAGCCCATGACTAGTTACGAGATCTCGTAGACTGTTGACTGATAGACTGTTATAAAAGGTTCTGTGGAGTATGCCATTACGTATGTTCTTATGATGACTGATTTGCAAAACCCAAACTTGAGAGCTTCTCATTCTAGATTACACCTTCTCTCTAAGGAATCATTTAGCTCTAGTGATCTTCCACCCTAGTCCCTTTGTAAAAAGTGTGGAGCTTGGTGTTGGCTACATTTTGATCCGAAAATCTTTAGGTTTGGAGCACCTTCGAATTTCTTCATCTTCTCCTTTGAGCTCCGAAATTTGAGGTAGGGATTACTACTCATATTTATGGTATTTGACATAAGCTTGTAGTCATTTTGATTTAATGTTGTATTTCAAAATCTAATCTAGATAATGATGTTGAAACCAAGAAACAGATTGTACAATCATTCATATACATTCACATCCTTAATGCGATGTGAATATTCACCACATTCAAAAAAAACAGAGCCATAACTCAACCACATAACTAGCCAAAACCCATAATCCCATATAACCAAATAAAACTTGCATGTCCATTAATTCCAAAAAATGAAGTTGGAAGCAAAAAACAGAGCATGCAATCCTTCATATAAATCTAATCACAAATGACATGCATCCATTACATACTAACAAAACTAAACACTTTATGAACATTCACATTGTTCATGCGATGTAAATATTCACCACATTCAAAAAACGGAGACATAGCTCAAACACATGACCAGTCAAAACCCATATCCCCATACAACCAACCAAAATCTAATCTAGATAATGATGTTGAAAGCAAGAAACAGATCGTACAATCATTCATATACGTTCACATTCTTAATGCGATGTGAATATTCACCACATTCAAAAAACTGAGCC